TGAGGCTCATGAAGTTCATACCATAGATGCGTCCATGGATTCAATTGGTCTTGATGATTTAGAGGCTTATATGAATGACAAAACCTCTAATGATGAATCAAATGATGTGCTCATTGATTCTGCAACAACACATACTATTCAATGGGATAGATGATTTTTTATTAAAAAATCTTCAACTTGGCAAACTAATAATATGATGACAATAGCTAGAGTAAATGCATTTTGTTTCAAAAAGATGGCACAGCAATGGTAAAATTACGTGCAGGTTCGATCATAAAATATAAACATGCAATATTTGCACCCTCAGTACTTTGGAGTCTGATCAGCTACTGAGATGTGTATATCAATGGTTATTACTTTTCAAATGCCATTTTAAATAGAAAAGATGTTTTGATTCTTGTGAAGAACCATAAAGTTGTTAAAAAAGCTTTTGCTATAAAAAATGGTTTATATCAAGTTATAATTCGACCTCCCATTATATTTAATTTTGCATTGTCTATCACAGAGAGTCATGCTTCTCTCTGGCATGGACGATTAGAACATCTAGGATCTACATTATTTAAATGATCATTCCATATATAACTAAACATAATTTAAAGCCTACGAATGTAGACTCTATGGAATTATGTCATGCATGGATGTAAGGCAAGATGATTACTCTGCCTTCAATTTGGAAACTCCTACAAGAATTACCACTAATACTTGAAAGGTTGTATAGTAATATTTGTGGTCCTATTAATCCAATATTTGGACCATTTCATTATTTTTTGATCCTTGTTGATGCATCAGGTAAATAATCACGTATTTTATTATTATCAATCCAAAACATGGTGTTTGCCAATCTTATATCTATGCTTATTCTTTTTTGGACATATTTTTCTTGATTATCCTATAAAAAAATTGTATATAGATAATGTAAAAGAATTTGCATCAAAGTCTTTTGAAAACTATTTTACTGCGAGAAGAATTGAGTTGACATATTGTGTTCTAAATGAACATACTCAAAATGGACTTGTAGAGTCATTTATAAAGCATATACAACTCATTACTTGGCCACTCCTCCTTCATGTAAATTTACCTGCATCTATGTAGGATTATGCAATTTTACATGCTGTAGCATTAATATGTCTTTGTCCTTCTTCTCTTGAAATTGTTTACTACATGAGCTCATTTCGGGTTGTGTTCCAAATGTATCTCACTTATAAGTATTTGATTGCTGTACTTGGATTCCAGTATCAAAACTTCAATGGCGTACCATTGGAGCTCATCGACAAGAAGGCACATATATTGGTTTTGATTCACCAAGCATTATTTGTATTGTTAATCCATCAACTAGCACATTATTACGGGCATATTTGCAAAATTGTTGTTTTGAAGAAAATGTATTCCCATCTCTTTAAAGAGGAGTATCCAATCAACAAAGAAATAAAGTACTTGTATTTGAAGTACCAAAAACGTTGACAATGAATCCCAATTTTAGGACATCTTTTGCTAAAACTGGAGTTGCTAAGTTTTTGCATCTAAAACGGATTGGAGATGAAATACCTGATGGCTTCAATGATGCACCTAGAATTATAAAAATTCCTATTAATGAGGCTCAGAATGCACCTACTCAGAATGCACCTACTCAGATTGCATTCCTACTGATTACAATACCTCAAGTTATAACAACAACAACTAAAAGAACTCATGGACCAGATAAGCAACCATGTAAAAAGAAAGCTATAATATTAACTAATCTTGGTATTATTTCTCAAGAAATTTTCACTCTTCCTTTGAAACCACCAATTCATGATGATATATCCATGCATAATGTACCTTCAATTCTTGTGAAAAATAATCTTCGAATTGGAAGGAATAAGAACAAGTTGAATAAAGAATTATCTATTCTATATTGTGCTATAAATGATATTTGGGATAGACCATCTTTTATGGTAGATGAATCATTTGCATGTATGATTATAGAAGTTGTTTCTTGCGAGGAAGATAAACTTGAACCTCAAACCATCGAGGAAGTGATGCATCGCTCTGATTGGTCAAAATAGAAAATTACTTTTGAGGATGAGTATGCCTCTTTGCGTAAGAGGAAAGTCTTTGGTCCAATTATAGATACTCTTACATCTTGCCCTGTGGGATATAAGATGGTATTAATATACAATCAAGATACTCAGGGTCAAATAACCAGCTATAAAGCTCCTCTTATTGCTTAAGGATTTACTCAACTATTCTGCATTGATTATGAATCTACATATTCTCCAGTCATGGATTCAATTACATTTTGATATGTTATTAGAATGGCAGTTCATGCCACCCTTGAGATGCATTTGATGGATGTGATAACTGCATATCTATATGGTTTTCTTGATGCAAATATTTATATGAAAGTTCCACTTAGCTTAGAAACAGGAACTCCAAATGTACCTACTCTAGGATAATATTGTGGTATTAAATTATGTAAGGCCTTATATGGTTTAAAATAATTTGGATGCATGTGATATCAATGTCTTTGAAATCATTTAATTACACATAAGTTTGTAAGTGATCCACTAATCCCTTGTTTGTTTATCAAACAAGATAAAACTAGTTTTGTGATCATTGTTACATATGTAAATGATCTTAACTTAGTAGGCACAAAATCTGCATGTATTGCAGCTAATAACCTATTTATACATGAATTTGAGATGAAAATGCTTAGAAAAATAACTTTTTGTATTGGTCTTTAGATTATGCATCTTATAGATGGTAGCATTTTTTTATGCCAATTAATGTATATTAGGCAAATCTTGTGGAGATTCAATATGATTGATGCTTATCTATTCTCTATACCAATAGTTGGATGTGATCATGATGGTCATGATCCATACCGCCGATGCAAGGAGGAGGAGGAGGAAATATTGGAAGATCAATATCCATACCTCGTAGCGATTGGAACACTTTTATATTTGGCTATATCTACAAGACTAGATATTGCATTTGTAATTAATGTTCTTGCTAGATATAGTGCACATCCAACATTATGATATTGGAATGGCATCAAATATTTATTACATTATTTAAAAGGTATTGAAGACTTAGGATTATACTACACACAATTTGTAAATCCAAAATTGGTTGGATATTATAATACAGGATATAAATGTGATACTGCAACAGCTAAATCTCAAACAAGATATGTATTTTTAAGATATGGAGCTGCAATATCATGGAAATCAGTGAAATAAATAATAATTGCAACTGCATCCAACCATGTAGAAATTATTGCCTTATATGATGCATCTCAAGAATGTATTTGGTTGTGATCAATTGATAAATTCATTCAAACAACTTATGGATTTTCATATGATGATTTTCTAACTATCCTGCATAAAGACAATAGTGTTTGTATTACACAGATGCAAGTTAGTTTCATTAAAGATGATAAGACAAAGCATATTGATCCAAAGTATTTTAATTATATCCATGACTTCATTACTGATAAAGCACTTATAATTAAGAAAATTGAATCTATAAATAACCTTGTTGATCTCTTCACCAAAGCTCTCCTATTGTGCAACCATAGTCGACTTACTTATGGCATTGATATATGACAACTTGCTTTTCTTGAATAAGAAAGTTAATGAGTTCTTTAAATAATTAAGAAAAATGATGTTGTACTCTTTTTCTTTCATCTACGGTTTTGTCCTTAAATACAATAAGGTTTTTCTAGATAAGGTTTTAATGAGGCAACAATTGTTGATCTTGCAAAATTACAACAAAGTATAGATCATAATTCTATACAAATTTTATATTATATAAATATTATGATGAACGAGGAAGAGTATTGATAGCATTAAATGTAGTTGGCACTCTCTATATTATTTATTGTAGTCTATAGTAAATACTATAGCTACAATATTTGGAATGTAATGGAGAGGAATTGTTTATCCTCTCCCCTTCTCTTCTTGCATATGAGACACAACCAGATCAATAGACTTTTGTGTGAAGCTCTCTTTTTCCTTAAAAACTCTCTTATATGTGTGTCTGTGTGTATTACTTACTACTACTCTTGTGTCTTTGTAAACATTCTCAACATAAACAAAAGTACTATTACACATTTCACAAATCAATGAATTATAAAATTTAACTAGTAGAAAACCAAAGTCATCTACAAAGTTTGAAAATTAAATGTTTCTTATCTTCTAATTCTGCAATTGCAATATGATAGAGGAACTGCTAGGTGGACACACCCTGTGCCATGCCCCTTCACATACATACAAAAAAAATCATTGCCATGTTTTTATTTTATCTTTCATTATTTATTTCTCCTTATATGAGTGCTTGCTAGTTTGGTTTTGTAATTCTTTTGAATTTAGAGGTCAAAATTAGAAAGTATGGTTATATATATATATATATAAAAATTTGTAAATATACCCATATTAAAATATATATAATAATGAAATGACAATAATATTAATATTTACATGGGGTGTGTGACATAGGCGTGTCATTACGAAGAAGGGAGGAGGCCAGATGAAGGAGGTATGAAAGGGGATAAGACGAAATCTAGATGAAGGCCTTATGAAAGAGGACGAGATGAATCCAGTTGAAGGAGGTATGAAAGGGGATAAGACGAATCTAGATGAAGGCAGTATGAAAGGGGACGAGATGAATCCAGATGAAGGCAGTATGAAAGGGGATAAAACGAATCTAGATGAAGGCCTTATGAAAGGGGACGAGATGAATCCAGATGAAGGCGGTCTGAAAGAGGATAAGATGTATCCAGAGGGAGCACTCTGGAGCAGGGTTTCGGAGGACCCAACGGGAGAAGGAGATGGCGAGAGAGCAGGGCATCGATCGATGCTTGTGGAAAACACGCACGCTCCTTCTCCGACCACGCGGTAGTAAATTGGCGTCACGATGGCCAATCCGCCATAAATAAAAAAAATACTCTCCTGAGAATCCAAATATAACACAAGCAGAAGTGATTTTACTTTTTAAAATATAAAATCCTTTCTTATTACGCCACTGGATTTGAAGCCGTGACGTTCTTAACACTCTTCGTTTCTCACACCAGCTCCATCGCATTGAACGCGTTACTTTAAATTCAATCACCGCACTGCGGCGATTCGGAGGCATCCGTTCAATCACAGAAGTGGCCGTTGCAATTGAACCCTGATGTTGATCAATCATCAGTGTGGTACCGAGGTTTCCACACCATCTCCAGACACTGCTCCCTTTCTTACTACACTCGTGCTTTCATCCCAGCTCGTTGTCTTAATTGAGAGCCAGGTTTGTATTGGAATAGTCGGAGTGATTCCGGGGGTTGTGTGTAGTTGTGAAGTGAGGGTGGCGTTGCAGTGAATTTGCGTGAATTTTGCATACTGGGGACTACCAGAGGCGTACACAAGGTTGTGCAATGAAAAAACAGTTGCCTTGGCGTTTGAGTTTGAAGTGGACGAAGTGAATTTGGTGAGCTTAGCATGTGGAATGGGGTTGAGGTGAATGTATGAGGTTTAGGGTTTGTAAGTGAGGGACAGGATCTAGAGGTTTGGGGCTATCGAGATGGCGCTGTCGGTGGAAGGGATTTTCTTGATACTGTTGTGCTCTTTGGGGGCCATGGCTGTGGCTGCGAGGGAATGGGATGGGAAGATCGTAATGCCGACGGAAGAGGGGTCGAAGGACCCGCAGCCGACCGAGGATGGGCAGAGGTGGGCGGTCCTCGTTGCTGGATCATCTGGCTACGGCAATTATCGTCATCAGGTTTGTGAACTCAATCTTAATTTGATATGTCATGTAACCTGCGGGATTTTGATGTATGTAAGAGGAGAGTTACGCATCGTGCTTGCATGTCTGCCTGCTCTCGTAGTTCTTCGTTGCAACGCAACGCTTGAATCTTCATTCTGGAATGCATGTGCATCTCTAGTACCATTGCTTTTTGATGTCCATGAAGTAGGAAAATGCAGCAATTTATATTCCTGTGAAGAGTGTCATGAATAGTTGAATTTTTTTGCTGCTGTCGCACGAAATCATGTTGCTATGTTAGGTTTAGTTCGGCAGTGTTACAACTAGGTATGGGTGTCGGCATGCGAGGTCAATTTTGCTCTCGAGTTGTTTTATCAACCTGGTAATGACCGAACAGGTAGAATGTAATTTATGTACTGCAAGTTAAATCCATGAATGTAGAAGCGTCGTAACCAACTATAACATGTCCTGGTTACAATCGCTCAATATAATGAATTGTTCTTAATCGACTGATGTGCAGGCTGATGTTTGTCATGCGTATCAAATTCTCAAGAAAGGAGGTATGAAAGACGAGAATATTGTTGTTTTTATGTTTGATGACATTGCACACAACCGCCATAATCCCAGACCAGGCGTCATCCTTAACCATCCAAACGGTGAAGATGTTTACCACGGAGTTCCCAAGGTCTTTTTCTGTTATTGATAAATTTGCCTGCCATTTTCCCCTTTTTTTCTATTCTTTGCATGCCTTGCTTTTCAACCATCTTCGCTAGTTGATGGCGGGAGATGTAGCTTCCCATGTTGGCCTTGTTAGTCCTTTTAGATTTGTTGTGCTCTGGTGGTAGGAATTCATGGAACCGCAGATTCTTGATATGCGTATCTTATGGGAGCAATTGGCTGCATAATTTCAGGATTACACTGGTAAGAATGTGACCGTGAACAATTTATTAGCGGTGCTCTTGGGGGATAAGAAGACTCTCAAGGGCGGTAGTGGAAAAGTGGTTAACAGTGGTCCAAATGACCATATTTTCATCTATTACAGTGACCATGGAGGTCCGGGTGTTTTAGGTGGGCTACTTTGTCCAACTTTCCTTACTTTCGTTCTCTTTAAAGTGAGTGTTTTAGACAAGTTCCCTCTATCTCAGGGACTCAGGAGTGCATTCTCTCTTCTATTTATTCTATGTTGTTCCTTTTGTTGATGCTCTCGGTGTTTGCAAATTTGATTGTTCCAATCATTAATTGTTAACCAGTCATTTCTTAAGCTTACCAAGAATAAGCTGGATCCTGTGTATCTTCTTATGTACCCATCGTAGACTTCTCTTGAAGAATTGAATCGATGCATGACAGGTATGCCTACAAATCCAAATTTATACGCTGACGACCTCCTGAAGACATTTAAGAAGATGCATGAAGCGAAGACTTATAAAGAAATGGTATTTGTCTGAATCTTTATGTTCCATTTAAATCAAGTGGATAGTTATCGTTTTATTAATGGACTTCGAGATAATTTTTCAACTTTCTTTTTGCGGGAAGAAATTGAAAGATAGATTTGAAATCATGCGTAAGATGTTAGAGTACGTCCTCAAGTCAACAGTGTATTTACTCTCTCGTGATGTAGGTGGTATATATTGAAGCTTGTGAAAGCGGCAGTATTTTCCAAGGGCTTCTGCCGAAGGACTTGAATATTTATGCCACCACTGCAGCTAATGCTGAGGAGAGTAGCTGGGGAACATATTGCCCGGGTATGTTTCCAGCTCCACTCGAAGAGTTCGACACTTGTCTCGGCGATCTTTACAGTGTTGCCTGGATGGAGGACACGTAAGTTCTGTTCTCTTTTTTGTCCGTTAAGTCACCATTTTCTAATTGCGACACATCTTAGCAGAGCATGATCTCGTGTGTTTTTTTGTTTTTTGTTTTTTTGACGACATTGTCAATGAATCACCAATCTCATTTGTTGCAAGTTGGATGCCTTGTTTGATGTCATGATATCGCATCGATAGCATTGTCTTGTTATGCTTGGAATCGCGAGTTGTATGAGAAACACTTCGTTTTGGTTGAATTGACTCAACTATTATTTCCGTTTAATTCGAATTTTATGCAAACATTCGACTTTATGCAGATCACTAAGTCTTTGGTTTGTGGCAGTGAGGTTGAAAATCTGAAGAAAGAAACTTTGCGTGACCAATATATGATAGTGAGTCCTAAATCCCTCTTTTGTCTTTCTCTAATTCTGTATACAAATAAGTTGATTGTTCATGTATTTTATTAACTTTTAGTAATTTGTTTTTTGAAATCTTTGTAAACTGAATTTGGTTTAACGTTTTATACTTAGTTTTCATCTTGCTTTCATATGGAACATTTATGTTTAAACGATTAGTTCCCTTCCCATTTTGAAATTTTATTGATGAGAAAATTATATGATTTTTGCAGGTTAAATCTAGGACCTCAAATCACAACACATATAAATCTGGGTCACATGTGCTGGAGTTTGGCGATCTCAAAATGAAGCCTGAGGAACTAGATCAGTATCTAGGATACGATCCTGCAAATGAAAATGTGACGGGACCAATATTTCTTCGGGAATATCTTGCCATCAGATTGGGAGGAGTTGAAGAACGCCATATTAACCAGCGGGATGCTGACCTGGTTCACTACTGGCACAGGGTACTCCCTTATGATCTTGCTCAACATTCAACAGCAATGCAAAAGAGTGTAAAACTTTTCATTGGATTATAATATGGACCTTGTGAGGTAAGTTCGCAGTGTTCTGGGTCTTGGGGTGATGATGTGAACTCTGACTATTTACAATCGACTTCTTGCATTTTTATAGTATCACAAGTCAAAAGTAGGATCCACAGCTAAGGCCGAAGCCGAACTGGATTTGATGAGGATCTTGAGCCATCGCATGTATATCGACAAGAGCGTGGATCTTGTGGGAAGACTGCTCTTTGGAGTAGAAGCTGGTCCTACTACGTTATCAGCTGTGCGTCCAGACGGGCTTCCTCTTACTGATGACTGGGCGTGTCTTAAGAGCATGGTAAGTGACATCACAAATTTTGAGAGACAATGAGCTATGATTATTGAGTACAATTTTGTATATGATCTAACTTTGTATAGCCTGTTTTCTAATAATATGTATTTTACAATAGAAATGATTTGATTATCTATATTCAGGTAAGTGCATTTGAGTTGAGCTGCGGCGAGTTGTCTGAGTACGGGATGAAGCACATGCGCGCCTTCGCAAACATTTGTAATGCCGGAGTCGAGCCCTCCAAAATGAGCGGCGTGGCAGCTGAAGCCTGTGCTGTTAGTGCCTTTGGATCTGGGACTTTGCAAATCCCAACAACAGGTTTTAGTGCCTAAGAAAATATCGGACCCTGAAGTATTTTACAAATATATTTCTGTCTTACACAGGTGTAAAAATCCACTTGTTTTCTGTAAATATGTGTAATTCTGAAGGTGCAACAGGTGGAGGAAATGTGTGGAGCAACGTAGGTTGAAGATATGTCCTTCAGCCATATTGGTCGGCTGTATTTGACCCGATTTTTTATATTATTAGCTTTACAGGCACTAAAGTGATGCTATTTGAAGCGACTAGATGCTATTTCAATGCTGCCCAGTCTGCTACTCGAGCATATGTTTCCAAGATCCATGGAATAATTAGTGAAGTGAATGGGGTTCTGCAATTTCTGAGACCAGTGTAGTCAACTCTCGGCTGAAGTTATCGCGGTAGTGCTCTTGTGTGTATTCCAAATTTTATTGTTTTATCTGATGTACGTGCCATCTTGGTCATTTATGCATAAGAGCCATGCGGCAGAAATAATAGGTGGTTCAAAATACTTGTTCAACATGGTTTCAATTCAGAAGTTTCTCCACTACCTCCTGGACTACCCACTGGCTTCCTGCTGAGGGTGGAAATGTTCCTACCTGAATACAGTCCTGCTTCCGATTTTACTAATTTCAGCCGTTGAAGTATTCAAATCCATTAAAGGACTTGTGATCTGAAAATCTGTCACTGTCTGCATTACTTAAGTAAGACCGATGCAAATCCACACGCATGTAGTTTTTACTTTTTACTTTCTTTCGACATTGCAAGGATAAATACTTGACAATTTTTGTCAAGGGCAGGTGTGATTTTACAACTGCACTTTGAATCATCAACTTTTTATATACAGTTTTAGTATATCCAAGAATAACATGCCATTCTCTAGTAGTTTATGGACATTGCATATCTACATGAATCCGTTATCTACATGAATCCGTTTTGACGAGTGTTCTGAGATGTACAACATGATGTCAGAAAGTGAACATTTACAATTTAATCCAAGATTTAGTCTTACATAGCTAAAAAAACAATCTACAAACTAAAATTGATTTGCTGGTCGATTGTAGCAACCTTGTATTGAATTTTACTTGGTGAATGGATTATTTGCTTTAATCATATTATTATAATAACATTTCTTTAAAATTTGATGATAACAGTGTGTGAGAATATATATATATATATATATATAACCACTAGGTGGACATCTCAGTAAAACTCTTCTTTACATTAAAAAGTCTCCAGATAAATTTATACTAAAAGATTTGTGTGCAATGGATTATGGCATTTTCTGTTTTCTGTTTTTGTTTTGTTTTATTTTTTTTCAATTATTTTTTTTAGAAATTCATGTTGCATTTTATGTAAATTTTTCATTCATTTTGAAAATCTTATTCATTTCATGTAGAAAATCATTTATTGTAAATCTACTCGAAAACTTTTTAGTCTAAATAAAAGTTTTATTGCTCATATGTAAGAATGTATAATATGAGGGTATCCATGGAGTAAAAAGAAAGTGTCCATTTAGCAATTCTATATATATACACACACATATAAATATAAGAATAGAAATCAACCTAATATCTTGCTTAAATAAAACTTATGAAAGATCATATAATATTATCTTTAGAAAAATAATTCAATTTTTAAATTTTTATTTTTATTTTTATTTTTCAATATACATTAAAAACATTCATCTTGATTATTTAGGTAAACTCTATTTTTTGTAATTTTTAATGTCATTATAATTTTATTAATGTCTCCAAATATAATATTATATATAAAACTAGTTCAAGAAATCATTTACAAACATGATATATCTTTATCAAGAACAAAAATTTAAGGAATGTAAATAAATAGAATAAGATGTATATCAAAGAAAGATGACAAAATAGAAATGAAAAAGATGTATATTCAAGAAAGAACTAGAATGATTGTTGCAAAAGATAAGAAGACCAAAGATTCTTAAAACTAGACTAGAAGCAAGAAAAACATTGACAAGAGTGAAGAAGACCTCACTCTTGCCTCCATAGATACTAACTAAGGAACTATGTGATATCTTTTAGTGGTTATAAACTTATAAAATAAAAAATCAAATATTATATATATATATATATATATATATATATATAATTTATTTTAAAAATATTCTTTAATTATCTTTAAAAAATCATCATTACATATATGGTAAATGAATAACTAGCTATATGAAAATAAATAGAGATGAAAATCATATATATATATATATATATATATATATATATATATATATATATATATATATATATATATATATTACTTATGCAATTTTACATCTACTTTTTTTTGAATGCTTTCAATGATTTTTAAACATTGTCAAAAATTCTTATTTTATGCATTTTCAATTTTAATACAATTATTAATTGAACACTCATTTCTAAACTTTTGTAGTGGTAAATCCATCATCAATACATTTAAATCTAAAACATTTCAATCATGAGGTATTAAAGAAGATTACAAAAAATACTTCAAAACCAAAATTAAAAATACTTTTAGAGTTGTATTACAAAAATATTGTTTTAGAAAAAATCTATCTAAATAAAGAAAAAAGAAATACAATTATTCACTACAAAACACAACATTGCCATGAAAAGATAAACATCCTTGTGCTTTTCTTCCTTACATGACATGATAAAGAAAGAATCCAATCTTCTTCCACTAAATCAAAAATAGAAAATGAAAAGAAATACATAATAAACTTAATCTAAATCCTCTTCTACAAAATCAACCTATGTATGGATTTAACAATAGTACATCCAAATAAAATTTCAAGTATCCTCATAGAAAACCAACCTCCTCCTTTATTAAAATAAGCTTTACATTCCATAATTATTTCACATATCTCTTATATAAAACAGCTCATGGGAAAAATCAACAAGATAAACTAAAAGAGACAAAAACCATCTTTGATTCGCTATATAAAAGTGAAGCAATAGCTCAACTTTTGATCAATCATAGATCAAAATCTTCATGCTATTGTTGTAGATTGCCAAGAGTAGCATTGCAAGTTCACTAGGCGTAGAGCTCAAAAGCTCCCAGTTGAAGCTGTGAAAAGTGTTGAGATCATTAAATGTAGCCGGCGCTCTCCATAATATGTACTGTAGACTATAGTAATTACAATAGCTACAGTATTTAGAGTCTAGTAGAGAAGTACTGTTGATCTTCTCTTCTTTTCTCTTCTTGTATACGAGACAGAACCAGATGAATAGATTTTTGTGTGTGTAAAGGTCTCTCTCCTTAGAAACCCTCTTGTGTGTATGACTTACTACTACTCTTGTATGTGTGTATGTGTCACGGACATACATATAATTACCTATATGAATAGATAAAAGTATGTAAAAGTAGATAAAAGTAGGTTAATTGTATAATATCTTCTAGAGAAGCTTCTTAGAAGCTTCATAGACGCTGCTTTGACTTTATAGGAGTCTATAGTTGACTTTTAGGTTAGAAACTTGGTCAACAAGTTAGCCAAGTACCACACATGTTGGAAGCTTAAAGAACAAGCTAACTACGTGGTCCATCCATAGAAAACTTGCCTTGCAAGCAAAGGCATGTGGCCTAGAAAGTCAACATATATTGGAGGTCTTATAGAACATCGCCACGTGGCTTCTAGTTAGATAGTATATATAGAGGCAAGAGTGAAGCCCTCTTCACTCTTGTCAACTCCTTTCTTGCTTCTAGTCTAGTTTCAAGGGTCTCTAGTTTTCTTGTATTTTGGCAATAGCCATTCTAATTTCTTTCTTAATATACATATTTCTATTTTGTCCTATTTCTTTGAGAAAAGTCTCACTTACTCTTTAGCTTTCATCGAGTTCTTGTCCTTGACAGTATGACTTACTATTACTCTTGTGTCTTTCTAAACATTCTCAACATGTTATTAGCACGACTCTCTTCTACATACTATCACAATTTTTTTTGCTCATGTCTTTGACTCTTCAAACCTGTAGCTACCCTTACTCAGTGTCTACCTCATGATCTTGTTCTTCTTACTAGCCTCTCAGACATTAGCTGCTTGCTTAAAGCACTTGTTCCACTCTCTGCCTTGCTTGCTTAGAATACTTGATCCAGTCCAACTCCATCCCAGCTTGCTTCCTAGTGCACCTCGCGCCTGCCGCCGAACACCCACCGAATCCACCACTACCGCCGCTGCTACCCTATCGCCCTGCCACCCTACCACTGCCTACTGCCGCCATCTTATTGTTGTTCTGTTGCCTTAATCTACAACTCTCTCCTTAACATATATATATATATATATATATATAATGTTTTTTCAAGTTCAAGTTTATCATTTTATTTGACTTTATATTTTAAGTACCAGAACCACAACGGTGTACCATTGGAGCTCATCGACAAGAAGGCATATATGTTGGTTTTGATTCACCAAGCATTATTTGTATTGTTGATCCATCAATTGGCACATTATTACGTGCACATTTACAAAATTGTCGTTTTGAAGAAACTGTATTTCCATCTTTTCAAGGAGGAATATCCAATCAACAAAGAAATAAAGTACTCATATTTGAAGCACTAGAAACGTTTACAATGAATCCCAATCCTAGGACATCTTTGGCAGAAACTGAAGGTAAGATTTTGCATTTATAACGGATCGCGGATGAAACACCTGATGGCTTCAATGATGCACCTAGAATTAGAAGAGTTTCTATTAATGAGGCTCAGAATGCACCTGCTGAGATTGCAGTGCCATTCACTACAATACCTCAAGTTATAACAACAACAACTAAAAGAACTCGTGGACCAAATAAGCAACTACGTAAGAAGAAAGCTATAAAATTAATTAATCCTGTTATTATTTCTCAAGAAATTGCCACTCATCTTGCAAGACTATCAATTCATGATGATATATCCATGCATAATGTACCTTCAATTCCTATGAAAAACAACCTTGGAATTGGAAAGAATAAGAACAAGTTGAGTAAAGAATTATTTATTCTGTATTATGCTACAAATGATATTTGAGATAGACCATCTATTACAATAGATGAATCATTTGCATATATGATTATAGAAGCTCTTTCTTGTGAGGAAGATGATCTTGAACCTCAAATCATCGAAGAGGCGATGTGTCGCTCAGATTGGTCAAAATAAAAAACTGCTATTGAAGAGGAGTATGCCTCTTTGCGTAAGAAGAAAGTCTTTGGTCTAATTGTAGACACTCTTACATCTCACCCTGTGGGATATAAAATGATATTAATATGCAAGCGAGATGCTCAAGGCTAAATAACCCGCTATAAAGCTTGTCTTGTTGCTCAAGGATTTACTCAACGATTTGGCATTGATTATGAATCCACATATTCTCCAGTCATGGATTCAATTACATTTCGATATATTATTGGAATGACAATTCATGCCACCCTTAAGATACATTTGATGGATGTAATAACTGCATATTTATATGGTTCTCTTGATGCAAATATTTAAATGAAAGTTCTACTTGGCTTAAAAACAAGAACTCCAAATCAACCCGCTCCAGGAAAATATCATGGTATTAAATTATGTAAGGCCTTGTATGGTTTAAAACAATCAGAACGAATGTGGTATCAATGTTTTTGAGATTATTTAATTACAAATAATTTTATAAGTAGTCCACTAATCCCTTGTTTGTTTATCAAACGAGATAAAATTGGTTTTGTGATCATTGTTGTATATGTTGATGATCTTAACCTAGTGGGCACTACATCTACATGTGTTACAGCTACAAACCTACTTATACGTGAATTTGAGATGAAAATGCTAAGAAAAATAACTTTCTGCATTGGTCTTCAGATTATGCATCTAACAGATGGTAGCATTTTTCTCTACCAACTAACGTATATTAGACGAATTTTGTGAAGATTTAATATGATTGATGCTTATCCATTGTCTACACCAATGGTTGGACATGGTCGTGATGGTCATAATGCATACCGTCCATGCGAGGAGGAGGAGGAGGAAATATTGGGAGACCAATATCCATACCTTGCAGCGGTTGGAATACTTTTGTATTTAGCTACATCTACAAGACCAGATATTGCATTTGCAGTTAGTATTCTTGCAAGACATAGTGCACGTACAACACTACGACATTGGAATGGCATCAAATACTTATTATGTTATTTAAAAGGTATTGAAGACTTGGGATTATACTACACACAATCTGCAGATCCAAAATTGGTTGGATATTGTGATGCAGGATATAAATCTGATATTGCAACAGCTAAATCTCAAACATGATATGTATTCTTAAGACATGGAGCTGCAATATCATGGAAATCAGTGAAACAAACAATAACTGCAACTTCATCCAACCATGCAGAAATTATTGCCTTACATGAAGTATCTCGAGAATGTATTTGGTTGCGATCAATTGAAAAATTCATTCAAACAACGTGTGGATTTTCATATGATGATTCTCCAACTATCTTGCATGAAGATAATAGTGCTTGTATTGCACAAATGCAAATTGGTTTCATTAAAGGCGACAAGACAAAGCATATTGATCCAAAGTATTTTAGTTATACTCATGACTTGATTACTGATCAAAAATATTTTAGTTATATCCATGACTTATTTACTGATAAAGCACTTATAATTAAGAAAATTGAATCTACAAATAACATTGTTGATCTCTTCACCAAAGCTCTCCCATCAAGCAACCATCGTCGACTTACTTATGGCATTGGTATGCGGCGACTTGCTTCTCTTTAATAAGAAAGTTAATGAGTTCTTTAAATAATTAAAGAAAATGATGTTGTACTCTTTTTCCTTCATCTATAGTTTTGTCCTTAAATAAAATAAGGTTTTCCTAGATAAGGTTTTAATGAGGCAACAATTGTTGATCTTGCAAGATCACAGAAAAGCAATAGTCTACAGTACATATTATGGAGAGCGCCGGCTACATTTAATGATCTCAACACTCCTCCTCACTCATCATAATATTTACATAATATAAACTTGTGTGTATGACTTACTACTACTCTTGTGTGTGTGTATGACTTACTATTACTCTTGTGTCTTTCTAAACATTGTCAACAAAAAGCAGCGTTGCTTTTGCAATTGTGGTAGATTGGATGCAGTCTTTAATTTATTGCCTTCATCTTCTAGCAAGGCATAGTTAAACTATTGGTAAATATAAATGAATGAATTCAACCATAATCATTTGTTTTGATTCCCCAGGTGAGTGTGACTCTTAGACAATTCATTGAAGCTACTGAGGGAGCAGCGGGAGCCGATTGGAGGACCAGTGACACATGGCGCATGAGAGGGGCCACGTAGGATAGAGGGCGAGGCAGAGCCGCTACGTCGGCGGGGCTGACGTGGCCGATACATACAGAAGTGGGCAAGGCTACAGTGAGAGAGGACATTGCTGCTGTTGCGAGGCCAACAATGGATTCCATGCCAGTGTTGTTGCTGCAGCAGCACCGCCCGCTTCTTCCTCTTCTTCGTCCTCGCTGCTCCCTCAGTAGTTACATTGCCCCCTTCGCACATTGCCGCTCCAGCTACTCCGGACTGGAAGTCTCTCTTTTGGACGTACACCGTGGTGCTGGCGGGTTTTACACAAGTGGCAACAGGGTTGGGATTTCTTTGACCTTTTCTTCATCTAGGTTCGGAATTTCGGGTCGATTTTCGGCGCTTGGGTGTGCGGGTGATGTTGGAGCATCCTCAGGGGGGAGCTCAGGGTTGGAGAGGAGTGTAGGGTTCGGATTTGGGCGAGCGCGGAGAGAGGTACTCGAGCCATTTCTCTACTTTTGAAAAAAATTAAAATTTTGTTTTTCAATGGCTGCTGTGGTGGGATTTTTCGTGGTTGTAATTGGGGGTGTAAAGGAATAAGTTGGTGAACATGATATTAATGTGAATAGATTGGTTTTAGACGAGGCATGAGTCTGTAGAATGTGAAAGTCACTCTCTGTTCCCTCCAACCGCCTTGTGCCTACAAATGCACAATCAGTAATTGTTTTATTCACTCTGAATGTGTTTTCATGAACACACACTGAAGGATAGTTCTTCGTTTCAATCGAATTAGACTCGCACGTCACAAGAGAGTTTTGCACTGTCAAGCGTGTTTGAAGTGGTTTTGGAAGCGGCATGTGAACTTTGATCTCACAGCAGAATTCTAGGTTACAGCTGTTTCAGCCGGAATCACCCACGATTAATTCAATCTGATCTTGGGAAGATTAAATTCGCACCCCCAAACTTGTATGCCTGATAAACTGGATGTTTTTTTTGGTGCTTGTTTGCTTTACTCCGCCCTCTTACTCAGAATCTGCGTTTTCTCTAGGGTTCAATGTCGGGTTCGGGTGCTTCAGGAACCACAGTTCCTCAAGCCACGGCATCAAGCTATGGCTGGAACCCGCAACATGTCATTGTTGTTGGAGGTGGTGTGATCGGATGCTGCACGGCGTACTTCCTGGGAAAGCTAGGGGCTAAGGTGACCGTGGTAGAAAAAACAGAAATTGCTTGTGCAGCTTCGGGCAAGGCCGGCGGATTCTTGGCTTTGGATTGGTGTGATGGTAGTGCAGTTCAAGATCTTGCGCGCGCGAGTTTTGCACTGCATGAACAGTTGGCAAAAGAGCTCGATGGCGAGAGCTATGGCTACCGGCGGGTTGGGGCTCTCAGTGTGAGCGTGGAGGAGCCACGTAACCCAAAGCAAGTATCTGAGCCAGCTCCGAAGCTCGGCACGCCTGGCTGGATCGATGGCTCCATCAAAGGTGCTCCAAATCACGCAACCTTGTGCTGTCCAACACGCTCAGATTCTGGGATTTAATTCTGTTAGCTCATCGATTCACACGAAGATTAATTTCTGCAGGGTCTCCTTCCACCATTGGCACTACCTTAACCAACGCTCAGGTGCATCCTCAGCTCTTCACCAGGGCAGTCTTCTCGGAAGCTCAAGAGAAATATGGGGCTTCTTTGCTGATAGGTGGAGTGCAGGAAGTGAAAGTAGAAGGCAAGAGAGTGACGGGAGTGGTTGTTGACGGGAAGCTTATCACTGGAGATGCCGTTGTGTTGGCCATGGGACCATGGTCAAGCCGCAACCCGCTGATCTCCTCCCTCACCACCGTCAGTGGCTTGAAAGCTCACAGTATTGTGCTCCTGCCGAAGGACCCCAATGCAATCTCGCCTCATACCCTGTTTCTCAAGTAAGTCATTGAAACATTAAAACATTTCTCGATTCTATTAATTGATGTTAGGACCAGTCCTATTATCAGAGACTGAAGAAGTTTGTGTTACCATTCAGGTATAAGACGAGGGAGGGGAAATCAATAGACCCTGAGATTTACCCGCGAGGCACAGGAGAAGTCTACGTGTGTGGGATGTCAGAGGAAGTGGAGGTGCCTGAAGACGCCCGGGAGATCTTACCTAGAACCGAGTCTACGGCGATGCTGCGAAGAGTGGCAGCCACAGTATCCAGCCATTTAGTCGATGCGGAGCTGTCAGTTGCGCAGGCGTGTTTCTTGCCTTGCTCCGAAGACAATGTGCCTGTGATTGGGAAACTGCCCTGCTTGGAAAACGCATATGTGGCTACTGGGCACAGCTGTTGGGGTATTCTCAACGCTCCAGCGACTGGGGCTGCATTGGCTGAGCTCATTGTGGACGGTGTTCCCAAAACCTGCAGTCTCAAGGCTTTTGATCCTTCTAGATTTTCAAGGCTCAGGTCTCGTCGGTAGCATGTATTCCGTATCACTGATCTAAGTAACGTGTCTGTAAATTTATGCCTGAGTAGTGCAATGAACGTGTACATCATCATTTAGCTGATCCCATTTCCATGTCATTTTCTTTTGTGAAATGACTTTGTAACTGATCTTGTCAAGTCTTCCCTTTTTGTTAAATACAACCATTATACTTGTTTTATTTATCATTATGATCTCGGTCTATCTTTCAAAGTATTGAGCCTGCGGAAAATATTCTAGAGTATTGACTGACGAATACATGATAATTGTGCTATAAATGCACTTAATCTTGTACTAAAACGAATTGCAAGCTCTTACTGAAAGTGCAACACACGATCTGAACAATGCACAGGCAGATGAAAGCTTCCGTACCTGGAATCTTCGGTCTTTCATGCAAATGTATATGTATCAATTGACGTTTTGACCAAAAGTATCTCACACAATAATCAACAAGCGATTATACATATATTCATATATAAAAGTAATTTTTGACGTTTTTACAAAGTTAATTATATATATCAACTTTAACCACAATTATTGATTACACATACAAATACACTTCTACATTTATTGTATGTTTTTTGTAAACCCTAATTAGATTTTTTTTTTTTTTTTTTAAACCACCTAAAAATTTAGTAAAACTCTTATCATACATTTATAAGATTAAAATGAATGAATAATTAGAAACTCAAAGTTTTGGACTAGTTTAAAAATGTGTTGTCAAACTCAAACAATCTTGAATTAAATATTTTGGTGTTTGAGAAAAACTGGTTCTTTTCTTTAAAAAAAATACGTTATGTTGTGAGTGCAGCAAAAATACTTTATCTTAAAAGATATCTTTAAATAAATGTACATATGAATATAAATATAAATAAATGCATTTATATATTTATTTATATATTTAAAATACACATATAAATTATTTTCATGCATGACTAATTGAATCAAACTAAATTAAGCTAATTGGAAATTTATATCTCCCAATTACTATTAAGTTTAAATTAATAAGCTTTTCACATCATTTACTTATTTTTTAAATATAAATTCGTTTATTTGAATTTTGTTTAATACTAGTAGAAAATATTCTATATGATAGATAATAATAAAACTATCCTATAAAATTTAATTCAATTAATTTTTTTATAATTTCATTTTTTATTTTTTAATATATCTTAGAATGTATTTTTAAGTAGGATAATACTAAAATAGATTATCTTAATAAAAATACCTCTTATCAACATAATTAAAATTTGAATAATTCACTTAACTTAGAAAGAGATTGTAGCATCAATGTAAGAAAAAAGGTATTAATTTTTTACTAAAATCTACAAATAAATGATCATGTAAAAATAATCAAGTAAAACATATTAACACTTTTTTCAAGTAAAAAAGTGTTACTATTTTTAAAATAATCAAATAAAAATATTAACAAAGAAATAAAATTATTTTTTTAGAATATTTTTTTATATCATAAATTTATTGGATTTTTAAAAAATTAATCTCTTGAAGTAAAAATACTTTTTTAAAAAATTTATGTTGTTTTAAAACTTATCCTTATTTGAAAATAAAATATAATAACAAAATATCTAATCTATTATTGTTAGCAAGTTGAAGCTTTAGAAATATAAAACATAAAACAATTCACCTAAAGTTGGTTGGATATTTTATCAAAAGAGCTTTGTTGCTACATTTTAATTGATTAAGATAAAATTTGAAAAAAATTCAAGACTAAAATATAAATGGTTTAAATTGATATATTGTTATTCAAGCTTTTGGGGTTATTGGCAAGCATGGGACAAGACCTTGCAAGACCAAATACAATACACACAATGATTGGAAAAGAAGAAAGACATAATTTATTACTTAGTTGGAATCACATTGCCTCTAGCCCAACACTATCTAATTTGTGGTGCTGGTGCTTGGGACTCACTTAGTATTGTATTAATTTTCAACTACCCCATTGTGCTTTTTCCAACCTTTAAATATCCTTTTAACTTACAGTATACTTATTAATTTTGGCAGCCGTGTAATAGCACCTTATCTCCTTCCTTACTGCTCCTTGGACATTGTGCCGTTGGGGTACTTTGGAAGATATCATCCATAGGCGACCATAGGTTCTTCAAAAAGGTAACACCATTGCATGCAAGTATAGTTATCTTGGGCAGATAACACACACACACACAAACATGTATATATATATATATATATATATAGATATAAAATTGTAAAATACCTATAACCTTAAATTTTTTGTTTGACTTCATAATTATAATAATTTACTACAATTTTGTTTTAAATAGTTACTAAATATGTATATTTAATTGAACTAAAATAATTAAGAATCTATCATATAAAATATTGAGGAGAAAAAATTGATAATGATGATAAAAAAAAATATTAAGGTTGTAGATTGATCAAATGAGAGATAAATTTACTAATATATAATATTAGAAAATTAGAAATTTTATTTTATTAGAGATTAAAGAGTCATAATTAAATTTAATAATATAATTTTTATGTTATATTATATCTATTAGAGTTAAAAAAAAACCACTATACGTTCTATAAATATTATTGCTATTGACTTATAAATATTATAAAACAGGCTTTTAAATTGTAAATATCATAAGAATACTTTGTTGCATAACCTTAATTTTGTTTATTTTTTTTATTTTTTTCAAATAAAAAATATACTAAATAAGGTAAGAAATCATAAGGTGAGAGGTTACCTTATTAGCCAAGTAAATTGTACTATTGATTATAAGATTTTAAATAAAGTATAAATGTTAGATACAATATTATATCATAGTAAATATAACTTTTTATTTAGGAAATAAGACAAAAGGTCAAAATTTTACAATTCTTTAGTTAGATAATCTTTCAATTTTCTGATAAGTATTATTAATCATCATAGCAGTAATAAAAATGAAAAAAGAAAAAAAATATATTATTATATACATGGTTAAGTTGAAATTATTGATAGAGTGGCTACATCCATTTTTTAAATATCACAAGGATCTACCACCGTCATAGATTTAATTGGTAAACTTTAAATCTTTTATATATTCAGATTATTCTTTTAATCATTTAGAAGTCAAATTTGGTGACATCTAGAAGATAAAATCTGTTATATATTTGTAATAGAAAAGAGTTTTAAAATAATTTAAATAATTATACGAATATGATTTGGTGGTTTAATAAAGAAATTAGAGATGCATTTATAAAGTATCATTTGATGTCATTGTGTCACGAGTAATAAGATAAGAAGCCAAAACAAATAACAAATCAACATCTATTGTTGATGTATACAAGTCAAGCTACTATAGCTTAATAATTAGCTATAATAAAATATTTAAATAAAGGTATTTGTATTGAAGAAGTATAAAACTTTCAATAACTATTTCTATTATTGTTTTTTAATATTTAATATTTAGGATGTCATATTAAATAAAGTCTTATTTGAAAATGCATAGATATGTGGTTGTAGATGGAAAATATCCTATGTAGCCACAATTTTCTAATATACATATTTTAATTTTAACATCCATGGATAATAGGAAATTATAATTTTAATATATAAGACTATAATAAAAAATAAAAAATAAAACAATTTTCAACCACCTCATTTATATATAAATATCAATTGTTTATTTTTATTATATAATAATTTATTTTAAGACCTATTAAAATATCCTAATTATAATTCTAATCATGATCAATGAACTTGAATAAATAAAATTCTCTAATTGAATTATTAGATTGGTATAAAATTTTGTAAGCTATTATTGCCTCAAGTCTTTCACATGCCTACAAATTTAAAGTAAAAATTAACTTATAAATTGAAAGGTCTTGTATAACAATATTAATATATTATTATAGTAATACTTTCTATCAATTATTCATATAAGATTACCATTTATAATAATTATATATGCAATTATTGTTTAAAGTGTAATTAATAATATTTAAAGCAAAAAACTACAAATATTGTTGAAAGTTATATAATCGAATTAACACAATTACAAATTTTTAGTAATTTTTTCTTCTTTCTTATTTTATTTAAGAATCTTATTTTATAACAAGTTTCACTAGATTCATATATTTAATACTTACTACCAATAGATATAACTTGAACTGATTAAAAAAGGTTTTAAAGAGTGAAAAGATCAGACTTCATAAGAATATAATGATTAATTATAATAAAAAAGTATTAACCATATACCTTGATAAAGAATAATATGCCAAAGTTGATATAAAAATTATCCAATTATTAGTTTTTGGCACCACCAATTAATATTGCCTATATTGATTAGTTTTTCTTCTTATTCTTCTTGTATATATAAAAAAAAGAGGAAAATATTAAGAAGAAGAAAATGATTGAATATAGTGTATGAAGCTTCTTTTAAGCATTTTTTTAAAATATTTCTACAGATGATAACATTCTTTGAAATTTTGTATTACAACTACAAAGAAATTTGATTTGACAAGGAAATAATGTTATTAGATCCATAGACGAGCTATTGACCTTACATCTATAGTTTAATTTTTATGAATTTATTTTCTAGTATAATGCTCTAACATCAATAGCTTTTAAATTTTTTTAAAAAATAAGATCTTATTTATATTCAAATTATTAATATTATTATTTTAAAAATATTTAAAGATAAATCATTCAAAAAATAAACAATAAAAAGATTTAATGGAATAATTATTCTATAAAATTATAATTTGAAAAAATTATAATACCTTATTAAGGATATAAATTTTAGAATAGTATTAATTTTCTTGATTAATTAGTAATTAGACTTAAATCAATAGGATTTAGATAATAGATAAATCCAAAGTAGTAGGATATAAATAGTAGACAAATCTAAATCAAGATGGTCTAAATAAGAACCTATAGTGGATTGGATATGTCAAACCCAATTAAAAACTAAATACTTGAGGTAGAACAAATTATATTAAAATATAGTAGTAATGTAGTGACTTAAACAAAATAACTTGTTGCCATGATTAATTAAAATTAATATACTATACAACAAATCTAAGTAGAGACAATTCTTATCTTTGGTGTTTTATTGTCCTTATTGAAATCTTATGGTCTATATATATATATATATATAATTAATGGTGGTATTTAAAATTACTTTGAGATTTATTATTAATCTTATTTAATCTTTTTTAATTCAAAATATCAAAAACTTATTTGAAATATATATATATATATATATATTTAAGTTGAATCCTTGTTATTTTCACGGAATTAATTCAATTAGAGATAAAAATAATTAGAGGGCACGTCCTTCCAGTAGATTACCATAGATACACCAAGAATACATATATTCAACAATATTGAGAACAAACTGTTTTGGCAAGTTTTTTAAAGCTTTACAATTAGTAAATCTTAGTATTCAAAATACTAAAGTTAAGAGATCATCAATTTCTAGTTTAAGCAAGCTTATATGAGTATAAACTCTCACAAAAGACTTGCTTTTATTTTTACCATGTACATGACCATAAATCTCTCTATTTACAATAAGTATTGTCTTTAGCAGATTTGTCCTTAGTTTCTTCAAGTCTTTTAGAATCCTATTATTCTTATCAATCTCTATTGTCTTTTCGATCTGCAAACCTCTAATCCACATTCCACTGCATCTACTAATACATCAAAGTTTTAATACTATAGTCACATGACTATAATATTTAAAAAGCTATGTATTTGAATAATTTATATAGTAATAATAATCAAATTTGATGTATGAGTAAGACAAAAATTAAAACACGTGTACAAAGCCTTCAAAGTTTTAGGCTACATGCAAAGATTAAAAATACACAGTTAATATTATCTTTGTATAAAAAGAATACTTATATTACTATTTTTGATAATATACTAAAATAAAATAATAGATATATCTTCAAAAGAATTAAAAATTCAAAAAAATATTCTATCCTAAAATAATTATCAATAATAGAATAAAAAAGAAAATATTGAATTACTTTTGTTTGTACATAAACGTCATAAATTTTCTATTTAATAGCTGAAGATTAGTAACAAAAGAAAAACTATATGCCCATTTCAACTTTGAATTGATTTAAGATGTGATGTTGTATCTTCGAACAACTTATCCACCAAACATTTGTATATCTAAACTCTCAATCAAAATTAACAAAATCAACTTGAAAGTTAGACTTATATATTAAAGCCAATTAACTTTCACTAGTCAACCTATCTATACTAATTTGCTCTCACAATTTCAAACTCAAATTTTGAATGTAATGCTTGTAAATTTGTCATCCTTAACAATTCCAATATAGAGCAAGAAAAAATACATGCTATTAATTAATAAATGCTCGAAAAGATGGCTATAACATCAAATAGTATTCTTCTTGCATCATTTACATTCTAGTGATTTGTAACCTTAAGATCTAAGGAAAGAAAGATCATTGGTGGATCATACTTGTTTATTTATTTTTAAATTGTATTCCACTCAATTGGTTCTCTGCACCAATATCTCATCAATTTGGAAATCTATGTGAAACTTCTATTTATAAAGTTATGTTTAACTACCATATGTCAATGATGTATGTTGTTTCACTCATCCCATTAATGCAACATTTTTAGCAATTACCTAGCATTCTTTGAATTCTTAGTTTTTATATAAAATTCAACAACAATCCCAATAAAATTATAGCTCTTGCCAATAAATAATCTTCATTAATCTTCTTTAATTGAATTATATGATTATTCAAGCTTACTAGTATCAATTTTTAGTCTATGCAACAAGATTCTTTATATATATATATATATATATATATATATATTAATGAGATCTCAAGTCTCCTCAAATTAATGAGATCTCAAGTCTCCTCAAATTAATGAGATCTCAAGTCTCCTCAAATTAATGAGATCTCAAGTCTCCTCAAATTAAGATAATAGAGTAGTAAATATAATTTGTAACCAATTGGCTTAACCAAAATAAGAACAAAGTGTTAGATATGATTTGCAAATTAAAACCAAATCCAAATTTATGACCCTCTCACAAGCTAAGTTGTACTTCTTAGGTGCTCTCTATTCCAATCAACTCTCCAATTTTCCAACTAAAAATCATTTGATATCTATATTGCAACATTCTTGGAGAAAACAAAGAAATAGGTGGATCTTGATAATGCTCTAAAAGTCAAAAACATAGCTAGAGATTTAAATGAACAATGTTCTAATAGTGCTCTAGAAATCATTAATGCAATGTAGGATTGTGCTTCGATCTTGCATTGTTATCATGCATGTCAATGTAGTCTTTTGATACAATCAATAAGTTGTTTTGTCTTCCTTCTTTGTCCCATGTATTTATCTTTCTACTAAGTTCTTTTATAGAAGAGACAAATATATAGATATATTTTCTTATGTTTAATTTTTGTAGTTCTTAATTGTTATTTATTGATATTATAATATTTTTTAAAATTATATCTAATCATTTTATGATTATATTTTAAATTTTTATTTTAATATATATATGTGTGTATATGTGTTTATATATGTATGTATATATAATAATATATAAGCAATAAATTTATAAATAATAATATGATATTACTTGTATATTATAAAATATGTATATATATATATATATATATATATATGCATATTTAAAAAAATTAGGCTTATTATTAAATTTAAGATTATTATTTTGTAGATTTAATTATTAGATATTTTGGCTACCAAAATAAATATATATGGAATTAAAAAATACTTGTTGCAAATACCTATACCTATTAGATAAATTATAACTTAATAAAGATAAAAAAAAAAAAAAAAAAAAAAAAAAAATCATGTAATAAGTAGAAATTGACTAAGTTGACATGAATTCCTAAAAGAATATTCAAGAAGTTTTTTATTTGAGGGTTGGACTTATAAGTGTCATTGAATGCACCATGTGGCTATATAAACTTCTTGTAGAAAAGTTTTTCTTTTGAAACCAAAAAAAGTGTCCTATAAGTCTTACAATCTTTAGGAGCTTCTTCATTGCCTTATATAGCTGTTATATATAGAAGTAAGACTAAGACTACATTAATGTCTTGTATTCTTATTTTAGTTTAAGTCTATTTGGTTTCTTCATACATGGCAATATAAATTCTAATAATTTAATATATAATAATAATTTTTCTTAATTGTACATATAATCTTTATTTTTTAATAAATTCATGTAGATTCATACTTTTGACAATATCTTTGTTCAATCCATTTTAATATATAATTTTCTTTTCAACTAAGGTATTATTTAGATTTATCTTTATCAATGATCTAATAAAGAAAAATTAGTTTATCATAAAAAATAAAAATAAAATCTAAAATTTATGGCTATTATTGAGTTATATACTAAATATTACAAAACTTAATGAAATCTTTTGTTGTTGATCTTGAAGTAGGACTATAATCTATCAACAGATCATGTCCATAGTGGAATATATATATATATATATATACATATGTATAAGACTTTTTTAGGTTATAGTGTAAAACTGATATCAAGTAAACATATAGAAAATTTGAAACATTATTTTTCCTTTTTACGTTGTATTAGATCATTACTTAGGATAAGAAAAAAATTGAGATACAGAAGTCATCAAATCCTGTTAGATTTTTTATGTCTCCATTCCAATTGTACCATGAATATTTCACACAACTTGGAATGAATCATTCTCTGAGCTTGAGGTGGTTTTTGAGTTGAAACTAACAATAAATTTACTGCATACCAACAATTTGTAATTTAGTAATTTGACTATATTCTAGCCACGTTTGAAAATCCATGCCAGCAAGTTAAATAGGCTGTATGATTCTTTCACGATATGATACTTTCCATCGGACACTTGTGAACACCAAAAGTTTTGCCATCCAATCTTGTCACTGGAATTCCATCACACAATCCGAGATGATAGGTTGCAAAAAGTGAATCTAAAGAAATAAATAAACTACTGAAATTACTATAGGTTAATGATGTGGAGAGAAGGATAAGTTTACACATTTGAGTTGATATTATAACCTCATTAATTAGGGTGATAATTACCGGTAAGAAATGACTGGTTAATTCTGAGGAATTATAGATAAATAATGTGCGCTCTTGTAGGATAAGACGATCACAGTTGGGAGGAGAACCCACATGGTAATAATGAAGCTGCAGAGTGAAACTTGGTGGACTGCTAATTTGTTAGGGATCTGGATCTTTGGGCGAAGGTGTCTCCTGGCTGAGGGTGATTTATAGGAGTGTGTGAGGACCATTGTGAATCAAGCAACATAGCTTGGACCCGGAGACCGGGACTTGGCTTGAAGACTACGACTGAGGGGAGAGAGAGCGAGGAGCTGAAAGTTGAGCAACACTGAATCCGACATTTTCAACCAACGTACAATCAACAAAGCATCCTGCCACTTGCTCCCACATGCAGAGTATTCATGGCTTAACTTTCTACTAAAAACTGAGCGAGACAGATATCGATAACACTAACTTTAGCGATAAGCAGGCATGTTGCAACAACATGCAGAGTGAAGAGAGAGAGGAAATGTACATGTTTACAGTCTAATTTTTCCAGGCAGATCGCTGATTTGGAGGTCGGTTCGGCGTCCCCTGTGAATACCCTGAGCCTGAACGAGCAGACCGAGGCGAGCTCATCGGTAGTTGCCCTGAGCCCGAAAAAGTAGCACACGGAGGCGAGGTTGTCGGTTGTTGCCCTGAGCATGAACTAGCAGACGGAGGCGACCTCGTCGGTAGTTGCCCTGAGCCCGAAAAAGTGGCACACGGAGGCGAGGTTGTCGGTTGTTGCCATGAGCCTGAATGAGCAGACGGAGGCGACCTCGTCGGTGGTTGTCCTGAGCCTTGATGACTAGGCTGGGCAGAGTTCGTTGTCGACGTTACTAATTGTGAATTCCTGTACCTATCAGCACGCTTCACGTATAGTGGTTTCTCATTGTCGGGAGGACGAGAGATGTATGGAAGATAGGGACTTTCAACAAGGTACACCCAGGTTTTCACAACGCTCATGTTCACTCGAAAACCAGGAAAGACAGTTAATAGAACCGCAAGGTTGTAGTCGTTGTCCTCCTCGTCGTCACCCATTCCAGGCACGGAAGATATCATGTAATTCCTGTCAAATCTATGCTCTCGCTCGGGGTAGATCGGCATGACTCTGTCCTCAAACGAAGACGCCAACCTCTGGAGCAGCCAGAAAGACACTGCTGCGCCTAAAAAACTCCTGTAGAAGGGGTGATTGAGGTGCTTTTTACTTATTTCATTGGTAGACAAAGCTCCTTCAAAGAATCCACCCCCCGCGTCCAGAGTTAGGAGCATCTCGAACTTCTTCGTACAGAAGTCTGAGATATGCGTTTCATTTAACTCGTTTCTCAACAATTTGGCTACTGTTTCACCCTTGACTTTGTACTTCAGAAACTGTTGAAAGCAATCTCTCGAATGTTCTTGCTGCCACGAGGACTGTCCTGCACGTCTGATGCCAAAAGAGGAATTTTCGAAGTCAGCAAACAACAGTTGGCAAAGGCAAGCCTGAACCAAGTGTCTTAGGTCGACTATTGGTGCATCAATCGGCACGCTCAAGCGTTGCATCATCTGCACTTTCATGGCCGTTTGCACTTCAACATTAGCTGTCTTAAATGGTGCCAAAAAATCTTTACAGAACTGATTAAGCGCTTCCCGTGCTGCAGACTGGGTGGTTGTAAGAATGGCGGGTGATGGTGCTGTCCCATCGTCGATGTATGCGCCCCGAGAAGATCGTTGGACAATTTGTTCTGGACAGAGCATCGCCCTAGCAGTCTCCGGACGTCTCTGAGCTCCTGCATTGGTCATCTCTGGGGGCATCGAGTCGATACTACTATTCACTCCCGAAGCATACTGTGGAGGATTCCTTCGAAGAGGCCAACCAATCTGTTCTCCGCTCATACCCCGATGCTTCAGACACCGAAAGCTCAAGATGTGAAGAGTGCGTGACGGGATCTGGTTTAATAGACAGACTTTTTAGATACCTATGCCGCGAACGTTTCTGGCTCAGACCCTTCACTTCGACAGGCATCTGCAAAAACGACATTCGTGACGTGAGTTATATCCTCTTAGTGCAAATATCCGGTAAGAACTGAGAATCTCTCACCAGTTCAAGTTAACAAAATTATGGAATAACTGTTGCTTAACTTGGCAACCCGTCGGTAGGGTTGAAAATTGAACATGAACCACGAATATAGACGTTCCTCTGTAAAAATTCTTCACAGTTAAGGGTTCGCGAACAGACTTTAATCACCTGCTCAAGAAACTATATTGATGAAGAAGAAAAGGATTCATGCTTTCAAATCATTCAACTCTCTATGCGTACGAGTCTTCTACCACAAGTGGTGGAGAGGTCCGAAACATAGCTACAAGTATTTCTTATGTGCAGATCTGGTTCTATAGACTGGAGCAATATGAACTCTAGTACATTTTTCCAGGTGATAGCATTCTTTACAGCAAAGATGGGGCGAAAATCACAGCGTTGCCACAATACTATCGCATTGAAAAAATGCTCATAGTGGAATATGCCAACTCAAAAGATACATTTTCTTCTACAGCACCTACATGCGTGCTAAGCTTCCAAATAAAAGCACCACAGTTTTCGTCGGAAAAATACCGACGCCCAGGACAATGACTGAAAACCTTAGCGTACGTACCTATTAAGCCCCAAACCAAGATCTCCGATGCAGCTCCAAGAAAAACCCCACTGACCATCAAAAATGGAGGTCAAAAATCCGCAACACTCATACAACCCTTCTCCGCTGGCTCCACAACACCTCGACGCCGCGAGTCAACTGTCCACACCGTGTCGAAACCCTCACAACTCTCCTCCTACACCCTAATGCCACTCCTCGCAACTCACGGCTACCGACAATGCCAGGGAGAAACCTCGACGGAACCAGCAGCATCCGAAGAAGCTCCACCGAGACGTTCGTGGCGACCTACGAAAGCACTACCATCCGATCCTGTCACTGCAGTGTAGACGACGCAAATCAGCGACATCAACGAAGTGGGTTCTGCTGAGGTTGACTCCAATGGATAGCAAGGACACAGTAGAAGGTGAAGGTCATCCGAAACTAATCGGTACAAAATGTTGAGCCTCTTCCACCTTTGTCGGTATGGCGCCTAATAAAGTATCGTGCGCTGTGTTATCCCCTATAATTGCTGCGAGTCTTAGGGCTGGATCCAGGATCCACTGAACAACGCCGGTCACACGTAGGCTGTTATGAAACTGTTGCACTAGATTTCTATATATGCAAAGGACCGTACACTAGGGAAAGGACCACACAGCTCCGGACGCAATTTTATATCGTTGAAATCACACGCATCTAGGAGAATAATAAGAAGAGTCTTCCAGAATTTCATATTCACGGCCACATCAAACGGTCCAATTCGAAGCTTTTCCATGATGTCAATTCTCGATAATCCAGTCGGTTTAGACAATTTCGCCATCTCACTTGTCTCAATTGTCTAACTCTCACTCCACAATGGGAGAATCTAAGAATGCAAGTTTATAAGTAGTAAGTAGAAAGCAAGATGTTTTACGTAAAGCAGCAAACCACCATAGCTGAAACCTTCAAAACAAGCTCTTTTTCTCTTAAAACATTCACAAGGCTTAATTTGGCAATGGCAAATATGCCATGTCTATGGAGTCTTCACTTATATACCCCCAAACTCTAACTGAACTAGAAGTCAAAGTTAATCAAAGGGAAGAATAAAACCCCAAAATAAAATAATGTTGCATAAGCTATACCTTGCTTGACATGATATGGCACCTGATATTACCTCACTTAAATTTTGGTAAAAAGAATATGACATAGAGACTATAGTACATGTAATAAGTAAATACCTCAGGGGCAAATCATTTTTTTTTTTTTTTTTTTTTTTTTCTTCTTCTTCTTCCTTCAAACAATAAAATATCCACATAGATTCATCACTTCAAAATTTATAATTTCTTAAATTGATGAGGCAATTATACATGTTGAAGGATTTTTGTACTTACATGAATTCTTAAACTAATTAAAATTTCACTACATATGTTTATTGATAATTCATACTACTTACATGCAATTTTGAGGGATATTTATCTTTAGTCAAAATTTTCACTAAATTCTTTTTGTAGATTATAAAATTGAAAAACAACAAAGTATAATAAACTATTTAATATTATATTATTTTTAAATAGATAGAGATATATATAGTAATATGACTAAAACAATTATAGACAACTATTTTTGGCATGGTATAACACTTGTTTCATTGCTCAAAGACATAATATTAACTTCCATAAATACAAATATTACATTAATGTTAAGATTTGTAACAAAACTTAGACAAATAATTGTGGTGACTAAACCATTGAATGATAAAACTTTACAGAATTTTTTGATTTGAATTACACATTACTTCAATCAAAACATGTATTAAACAAAATATGACAACATTGCAAAAAAAAAAAAAAAAAAAAATGAAAATCAAATAATTGATGTAGACAAATGAAACTATAATTATTATAATATCCTTAACACTTCAACCACCATGAGTGGATATATATGTATATATATATATCTCTAACAATCAACATAGGAAAAACCTTCTACATATGTGCATTTAGTGAACCAACTTAAACCAGATTTGCATCCCCTCCTAAAACATTTGTTTTATTAAAAATATCTTTCTCCTCATCCACATAGTTTTGTTCTTTTGATAGATTACCTCATTCTAAGTTCCCACTAGACTTGCATTTTTCTAAGAAGATATCATCCAGAAGACATTCCCCAGCTCTTCACCACCCCTAATTAACAGATGAGGTGTTGGAGTCTTCCATGAAATTGGTGACCAATCTTAAATTCTTGCTAGAACATGGACCTCCGATCCAGTGGTAACTGGAATCAGTGCCCATATCTGCTGAAGGTGCTGGTTACCAGTGTGAAGGTAAAGAGGAATTGAGGAATCTGCTGGATACCGGGCATTGAAAGTGTCTGAACTGCTTGCAACGTAAACGTCGGAATAGTGGCTCTTTTCACTGTTCACCACGCGTTTTACTTCACGAAAAAAAAACTCACATTCTGGTTTGTGTAGGCCCTCCATTATGATGTAACGTAGCTTAGGCAGGGGATCACGAGGACGACCAGGGTGTAGCACTCGCACGAGATATACGCCTTGTCCATGTCACAGTGGGCAACTTGAAGATAGTGATATCTGCTTGTGAGCAGAGTCCATTTGCTAACAGTTGATAGAAGAATTTATCTTCTGAAAAACTCGTCACGACTGAAAAAGGTCGTGATCTGTTAGGAAACGGAGGCATGCTGAATATATGCTTGTTTGGGGGCAAGGGGAAAGAGGGTGTTGACTAGACGCACACATACCATGACTGAATCGAGAGATGAGTTAGTAAGCAATGAATGTCATACCAGACTTGTTGAAACACAAAATTGGGGATACTACGTAGTGATGGATGCAAGAGGAGTGAATTGGGCAACCAAAACACTATTCGAAAAATCTGCTCTGTGCATCATCATCATCATCCAGGGGTTCCTCCACTGGACGCAATCTCCGAGTGACAACATAGGGAACATCTGATGAGTCTTCCAGGCCTTCTGGTTCTACGAAAGATTTGCTCTCATCTTCGTCTTCTCTGTCAAGAGGACTTAGGGCCTCCGATTCATCAATGAGCCGCGCTCGACGTGTAACAATATACGGGAGATCTGGCTCTTCGTTATGGTTGCTTTGTTCTGCATATTCTAGGCTCAACCGTTGTCGGAAGATATCATCGGCACAGTTCAACATCCAGGCCAAGCTGCATTCTACACCGCTCTTCGTAATCTCCTCATGACGTGGTTGCACGACTTCCTCTAAGTTGTACAGCAAATAAGCTGGAAACTCGATTACTTCTGTAAGTTCCCTTTCCATCTTCTCCACTAAATAATCCAAATTGGGCTTGAGACTCTTTTCAATGCTGGCTGCCAGGAGTTGCGGACAATTAGTCACCATCGACGCTATGTCTGCAGCTGAAAATTCCGCCTGTCTCAAAAACTCGACCCTTGCACTGGCTTTCGTAGTGTTGATGGCAAGAATTTGAGGAAGCCTGGCGATGATCCCTCCAATGGCGTCCGCACTTACTCCGACGTCCTCGGTTAGCCATGTTAGCCTTTCGGCCAGTTTCCCTTTAACGTCAAGACTCAATATGTCTGGAAACTGCGTAATGACTCGACTAATTGCATCCTGTGCCACTCCTACTTCTATGAGGCTGTCTACTACGGGTCGCATTTGATTTGTCAAATCCAACCCTAAGAAATGCGGTCGAGTTTCAATTATCTTTGCTATGCTGGATTGTGTCAGCCCAAAACTTTTGAGAAAGTCTACTTTTCTCTTGATATTGTTCCCTACACGCATACCTAAAATCTCAGGCATTTGCGTAAAAACAAAACCTAGTCTGCGAGGGTTTACACCGAGCATTACGAGATACGCAGTTGAAGTGCTGATGGTTCCTTCAATCTTGAAACCAAGTAAATTAGGATACCGAGTGAGAACACTCCCCATATCAGCTCGTCGAATGCCCAACCCCTCAAGGTACTCAACGTGCGGGAGCAAGTCAACTACGACACTAGAGTGCAGGACTTGCGGATACTTGCGCACAAGAATTGGAAGCGACTGCGACGTAACACCAAGTTCTTCCAGAAATGTCAGCACAGGTATGAGATTTCTCCTTACACTATACCCCAGGATAAGAGGGTAATCGTTAATGTCTTCCACAGTAAGACCAATCTTCAGCAAAAATTCCACCCGCTCACGCACAATTGCCAGGGAAGTAGGAAGGTCGACTTCAAGTTCGTCGAGGCTGGCCGTGTCTACTCCTATGGAATTGAGATATACTATAACACCTTCCTCCTCTGTCAGCTGCTTCTCATAAATCTCCATTTCTTCCGCTGTGACACTCGGTTCAGCAAACTGACCTGGTCGTAATGAAGCTTCCGCTACGAGGACCGGCGAATTGCAAAACCCAAGCCTGTTCGACCATGAACTACCCATACCTTCAAAATTGCCCTCGATTTCATCTCTCCACTTCATAAACCCTAATCCCTTACATGTTGCTCTTACAGCTTTACTGCAAACCTCTCTTGGCGAAGAGATTTTGGACAAAACTGTAGCTGAAGCTGAATTTGTAGCATTCTCATTCAACGAGAACTGCGCGAGAGGCAAGGCGGGGGAGTGACTTGCAGTACCTATCGTTTTCGATATTCCTATCGCCATTGGAAAAAGCCCTACCTCCTGCGACCCAAAGAACAAAATTCTCGTGGATGAGCGTGAGTCAGTCTTGTTGAAATTTCTTAAGCTTCAGAATTACTAGCTTCTCGTTAATGAATGTGAGCCAGTCCTACTGAAACTTCTTAAGCTCCGAAAGAACTCAATTCCACGCATGACATTTTCAGATTCTCGCAGAGATCACGCTAACCCTCGAGAAGCAACCCTGTAGCTAGCACATCCAAAACCTTCCTACAAATTGAACACTGCAATCTTCTCATGGCTGTGGAAAACACGAAAGTTATGAAACCACCGAAACGGGTACCGCTTTGATTAAAATCCAAAATACCACCCTACCAAAACCTCTTCCACTCCATTGCTGGGTCTGACAACCCTGGTCTCATAAACCCTCGCTCCCACACAAACACAACCACTTCATGTAAATCCTGGAAGCCACCAGCTGTGGCGCTTCCGAAACATTCCCTCAACCCTCGATCTCTAGCCCTTATCGAAGGAATCCTCCACGAGGTTCGGTAGCCATATCCACGTTCCTGGATGAAATTATGTAAATGGAAATTTTAGCAGGAGTTCTATTTTAATGGATGAACTTGGAATCTATATCAATTAAGATGAGGATGATGGGTTGCGCATCCCAAGAAGGGTGGTTTTGGGGAAGAATGGGAGTGGAGCCCAGACAGTTTATTTGGCTTTTCTGAGCGTACCCACATCGCAAGGAGAACTAATTTCAAAGGGTAGTTGGGTCTTTCAGATTTTCTTCGTTGAGTTTGATTACCGGGGAGTCCACTAAATGGATAAAATTCTGAGCTGCTGGATTTAAGAGAGGTTGGACAACTGGTCACGTAGTCAGGTTTGGTAGGAACCGGTGGGGATTGGTGGTAATTGGCGTTTTCCAACTTTCTCGTCGATGCCGCGGTTTTGGTTTCCAGTTTCGCAACTAAATTTTTCTCGGATACGATTCTGTGTTCGAAGCAGAGCGACGTGAATTGTCATTCCAGTGAGAAATTCACGCCCTGTGGGAATACAGAAGCAGTTGTAGGTTTCAGACTATTCTGATGCATCCATACGTTTTTCTTTTTGTTTGTCTCCGCCACAGTGAGATTCAATAGTAGCCGAACTTGAAAACTCTGATGCAGTCTCGACGTCATTAGAACCTTCTTGTGCAAAACAGCATATCATAGCATAGTACAGACGACGAACTGCGCAGCTCATTAGCAGTCATGTTGTGTGAGGGTTAGGGTTGACACAGGTTATTCGATAGATTTGAAAACTTGGATTCTGTTTTCAGCCATCGAAAAACATTCGAAGTGATGTGCAGTTGCTGCAAGCTAATTATCAGAAAGGGAGTTGGTGTGACTTGGTTCACAGTATCAAATTCAATGCCTCCATCGTAAGTTTAGAAATACTAAGTCCCAGAAGATTACTTGATGCAGTAGCACATACGCTTTCCTACTTGAGGCTCCGCGCTTAGGATTGATGGTAGACACGCACTTTTCAAGGTCCCAGTGGATGCTATGAGGCAGATCATTTGTTCTTCTGTTGTGTAAGGTGCAAGGTTTTAGATCCTGGAAGAAAACCCCAAAATTATAATGTCCTATATTAGTCCGCTCACGTAAGAAGAGTGTGTTTTTAATGTGGGGTGTAATCTGTTCTTTTGTTGGATGATGTTGATGAATCATGTTCAATTCCTAGCCATGGCACTTGTCTGCTGCAGTACAGTCTCTTGCTATCTCTTTATTCATACCTCTTGCACGTCTTCATGTCTTTGGTGATGAGTGAGAAGAAAGACCCTAAGACATGTACATTGATCCTACATTTTAACTCCTGAATTCAGGACTGACTGCAAGACCTTGCAAGACGTGGGCTACTGCGGAGTCAACAACCTTTCAGAATCACCATTCTGATGAAACACCGAGCTTAGTTTACAATTTTTGATGATGTCAGGCAGATGTGCAAACTTTTGTGTCTTCAACAAGGTTCTTGTTATCCACATTTTCAAGAATTTGGTCATTATACCATGTCATTCTAGTTTTTTGTTCTTCCAAATATTTTTTTATTGTTTCATCTACACATTACATAATTTTGATTCAATATGTGCTTCTAAATTGACTTGTGTGTATGTGTATGTGTTTTATTTATTTATTTATTTATTTTTATTAGTTTTTTTTTTCTTCACCACTATTTGATGAACAAATACATAGCTTTGGATCATCATTTTATAATCTTTATATTCTTTAAATGAAGATATTTTTATCTTTATAAGAATATATATATATATATATATATATATATTTAATATATACTAAAAATATTTAGTAATTGGATTTATACATTTTACTATAATATATTAATATTTAATATTAAAAAAATTAAAAATCATTAAAGAAAATTATATAATCAACTCTTAATATATATTAGTAATTTTAATAAGTTTCTTTCAACATTTAAACTTAAAAATATGTTCTAATGTTATTTTTTAACATACAAAAAATTCTTTTATAATTTGTACTAATAGTAATCACAAATGAAATAAAAAAAATACTTATATTTACTATTTTCTTAGCCAATAACCATTTTACTAGCCATTAGAGTAGTATCAACTATAATGATTATCAATCTTCTATATAAATAATCAACTCATTTTATTACTAAAGAAAAAAAAAAAAAAAAAAAAAAAAAAAAAATCTTTTAAATCTTCAACAGTCAATTTATGCTCTTATTTTAAACTAAATTCGACATTTTGTTTTCCAAAGAATTGAATAAATACTTGAATATTAAAACAAATCCAAATTTAATGAGAATTAAAATCTTCTAAGTATTTGTTTTACCTCAATAATACTTTAGTGAGTCTTTATCTTTGTAAAAGTATGAATTCTCTTAGAATATGACTTCTTCTAAAATTTCTACATAGATGACCAATTACTACAATTTATCTAATTTCAAAACTAAACTTTTTAAAGAACAAAGTCAAATTTATTATCTTAAGTCTTTTTAAATCTTAAGGCATTGTTGGAATGTTATCAAAGCATAGGATGTGTTTTAAGGTTTAAAGCATTCTTATGATGTCTTCAACATTTAAAGTAATTAATGAGATTTGAAGCACTATTAGAATATTGCCAAAAGTGAGGGTATTCATTAAGACTTGGTATAATATTATAAGATATTAAAGGTGCAATGTTGCCAAAACTAAAGATGAATAATTGAAGTTTGGAGCAATATTTTGAAGTTATTATCAAAATTTAAGGTGTCTTTTGAGGTTTGAAGTATTATTGGATATTGTCAAATTTAAGGCACTATTCTAAAGCTAAAAAAAGTGAAGGTGCTTGGTGAAATTTGAGAGATTGACATGAGGTTGTTGAAGCAAAGTTTCAAAGATGCTTTATGCAATCTTCTTAAAAGTATATTGCCAATGAATGGAATCTATAGAAGCATATTAACAAAACATTATCTAAAGTGTAATTATTATAGGTGCATTAGATTAGTAGATTTAATTATACATGATTTAATTATACATAAGTCCAATACAACTAAATCCTTATTGATAGATGTAAGAACTTTTATGCATGCTACAAAAGAATGGTCATCTTTTGTTATATATACTACATCCATTTTTGATGGTAGAAAAATATATATATAATTGCAGATTCATTTTAAGCATGGCATCATTATTTAAAGGCACATTATATCTAATTATTATATATACGGATCACAAGAATATCAAATATTTCATGCTAGAATATGTTTTTATCAAGATTTGATTTTAAGATCACATATCAACCAAGAAAGCAACAAACTTTGTCAGATATTCTTTTTGGATGTTTTTAGCTTGTACCAAAAGAAAAAATATAGCTTTTGATTAACAAAGAATAATTTTATTGAAGCCAAAGCATCTTCTTTTTCAAGCAACAAAATCAATATTGATTATTGATTCAACCTTCTTCAAGGAAGTTCAAGTAAGTATATCCTTTCATCTTCTTATTCAATATATATATATATATTGAATATATATATTTTAAGTCTTATGATACTTTCAAGTTTGAATTCAAGAATAATCTATTCTATTTCAAGAATTACTTATATATTTTAAAAGATGAAGCATGATTACATATTATTCAAGCTTGTCACAACTTTCTAATATCAAGATGTTTTAGATACAACAAGACTTTGGAGTTAATATCTAGAGATTTTTAATGGCCTCAAATATGAAAGGTAGTCAAAGACTTTGTATAGATGTGTGATATTTATTCAAGATCAAAAATTCTTCATTATTAGGCTTATAGACTTCTTTAACTATTACCTATTTTAAAACAACAATGGTATTTTTTTTCTATAGTTTTTATTAAAAATATTCCAATATTAGGTCCTTATAAGTCTATATTAATGATATTAGATTGATTCATTAAGATGACATGTTTTTTACCTTGTGTCACGGCCATAATCATGTAAGCTAATAATTACATATAGAAATAGGTAGAAGTAAGTAAAAGTAGATAAAAGTAAGCTAATTCTATAATATTTAATGTAGAAGCTTCCTAGAAACTTCCTAGACGCTGCTTTGACTTCATAGGTGTCTTTAATTGACTTTTTGGATTAGAAACGTGGTCAACAAGTTGGCCATGTGCCACACATGTTGTTAGCTTGAAGATCAAGCTAATTATGTGGCCCACACGTAGAAAAACTTGCCTTGTAAGTCAAGGCATGTGTCCTACAAAGTCAACACATATAGGAGGTCCTATAGAACGTCGCCACGTAGCCCCTAGTTAGATAGTATATATAGAGACAAGAGTGAAGGCTTCTTCACTCTTGTCAACTCTTTTCTTGCTTCTAGTCCAGGTTCAAGAATCTTTAGTTTCTTGTCTTGTGACAATAGCCATTCCAGTTTCCTTTTAATATACCTACTTGTTTATATTTTGACTTATTATATCGAGATAGCCTTTTTGTATATATTTTCCCTCATCGAGTCTTTGTCCTTGACAGATTGTCAAGAGTACACTTACAATATCAAAGCTTTGTTTTTCTTGAATGAGAGTGATTACCCCTTTCTCTTGACAAGACATAAGCATATTAGAAGTTTGCGGATTACCCACTTCTAAACTGATATTGTTCTTAGTATCTTCTTTGTTATCAAGTCTTTCTTTTCTTTTGTCTTGAGCAGTATCAAACAAATTTTTCTTCTTAGTGTCATTATGGCAGAGCTTGTTGAAATGAAGAGTGCAATGGCACAAATGCAAGAGCAAATGAGGGAGTTAATGCTTGCGATGCATCAACTCAATTCACCAACACATGAAAGAACAAGAATAGCAGAAAGTGGGGATATAGAGATGATCGGAGCTGCTTCAACATCTACAACAAATCACGTTCCTTCTCCAATTGTACAACACCCTGTAAGCACTAGAGAACCAAGAATTGCCTTACCCGAGAAATTTGATGGTACGAGATCTAAGTTTCGAAGGTTCATCAATCAAGTACAATTGGCAATTGAACTTCAACCGCAAAGCTATCCAACTC